GAAACGTCAGCCTCTCTGCTCCTATGATGCTGCTTGGCCTGCTGTGTTCATCCAGCCCTGCACCTAACTACCTTTCAGAACTGGTTTATGATTAAAGTGACACCTTGCACTCATCCATGGGCTATTCTCCACTCTCTTCTTTAGGCGAAACCCAGTCCTTCCAGTGAACCACTGCCTCACCATACCTTCCGGCATCGATGGTTCAGTTAATAAGTGGATAGCCGATCATCACATGGGGCTAACTCAAGTGTTCAAGATGGTATCCGACATGACAGACAGAAGCATTGAAAATACAAGGGGGACTGACTAAATTGCAAGAATATTTTTCCAAAATCAGAATAAGATACAAGATGTGCGAGGTCCTGAACCCCACAGTCATCAAGTAGTGACTACACCTATGTTGTTAAGTCAACAGCTGTGCAGCAGAAAACAGCTCACAGAGGGGAGTTGCTTAAGGCCAGAGTCTGATGATTGACATAGATGCAAGGAATCACTCGGCGATATTACAGAACCTTAACTGCCAAAGTGTGACAGAGCAAAGTCGAGTTGGATCACTCGGCCTTTACTCATTCAAGTTTAGAAGAACGAGACCTGATCGTTTTCAAATAATATTGTGAGGGACACTTGACAGGGCAGAAGCAGAGAGGACGTTTTCCTTTGTGAAGGAATCTAGAACTACGGGGACACAGTTTCAACATTAAGGACGTCCAATTTAAAAAAGAGATTAGGAAGATTTTCTTCTCTCAGAGTGTGGTCAATGTTTGGAATTCTCTTCCAGAGCAAACAGTGAAGTGTGGGTCATTGAATATGCTCAAGATTGACTTGGACATATTCTGAGTTACAAGGGAGTCAATTGTTATTGGGGAGATGAGGGGCGGGGGGAGGCAGGCAGGTAGGAAAGTGAAGTTAAGGTCACAATCAGATTAGCCACAATCTTATTGAACGGCAGAGCAGGCTCAGAAGGCCGAATGGCCTATTCCTGCTTTGATTTGTTTGTTATGATGTTATGGCAAAATAAGCACAAATTTTAGCAAAGTTTTAGCACACTGTTAGCTGATTGGTGCATTTGCCATAGATTTCATCACAGGGCTAATCACGTGTGTCTTTGTGTGAAGTGATTATGACACTTCCATCCTTTAGAATACAATTATTTTTGGAGTTACTTACCTCACCTGCTATCTATGTTCATTATTGTCCATTCTTGCTGTTTATTTTCAGGCTTGTTCTCTGCTGAACTAAGCAATGCTGTATTTTTTTTTATTTACTCAAGGCCTAGTACCACAAAGTATAATGAGTGCCAAGTTCTGCTATGGTAACTGCCTCCATGGGGCTAGAAATCTGTAATTTAACAGGCTTCCAAATAATAGTAGAGAGCCACAAAGACTCAGCTGAAATGGGGGTAAAGACCATATGACAAATTATATTCCCTTCAAATATGGAGGTTGAAAGATGATCGCAGGGGCAAATCAACATCTCAGCTGTAGCCTACTTACTTCTCCCAGACATTTATAGTTTAGCAGGTCAGATACATTACCGTTGGAGCTCTGTTCAAACTTTTGTTTGAATGCGTACTTTGTAGGGATACAGAACACTGTAGAAACTGAAGACTGTTTTAACTGCAAATACATACTTCATTTGCACCTTACAGTTGCTACATCTCCAAAGTTTAGCCCATTTTGTTTAAATAGATGCAAATCTATGTACTGAAATTGTTTATAATGGTAAGATAATCACAAAAGTTGTGAATTACATATTGTTTGCTGGTTCACTCTCCACTAATTTATTTGCCCATTGTTGTTTCACGAATACAAATTTGGGTTAATCATGTGCAAATGTTCTGAGACAACAAAGCGTGATAGATAACTTCATGATAGAGAGTGAGATCTTACATATGCTCATTACATGCAGGACAGACAGTTGAACTTACTTTTGCCTTTCTGCTTTGAACTGTTGGGTGCAGTCATCAAATAGCTTCTGATTCATTTCCATAAAGAGTTTCAGAGCATTGTAAATTAATCCATGGATAGTCCTATATACACAAGACATTAATTGAATCTCATGCATGCTTAACAATATATAATGTATTAGGTCGACATTAGGTAATTACAAGAAAACTAACTCTATTGTGGAACTAGAAATAAAATGTATAAAATGCACATTAGTAAACATGAAGTTTAAAGTCATGCTTTCTCCTGCCCAAAGGAAAATGCCTTTACCTTAATTTAAATTTGTATAATTTCATTAAAACTCAAGTGGATAATTTTCACCTAAATCACCAGATATGAAACGGATGCAATCAGATCAACTGCCTTTCTTTTTAGAAAACACACTGCCCAATTTCTTTTATTATTGAAGTCAGTGAGAAATAAAATTCGGCAGCTGTAAAGTGGATAATTGAATACTTTTCTAATTTTTTCCATTGGGCAGGTTAAGTAAAAATTACCCGCAAGTTTTAATACATATAATACACTAAAATACTATATTTATAGTAACATTTAAATAACAATGTCATGCTCCTAAAATAGCAATATCTTACGATGCAATTTCCCATTTACAATCATGTGCAAGTTCAATTATTGGTAATCTACAGTAATATTATCTTTCCTTATTGTGAAGATATACTTTCAAAACGATCTATCAGACTTTACTACGGACAAGGCAAGGAACAAAATTATTTTAAATATATCTCAGAATTTTATCATTGAACCTTTCAAACAAATGCAAGTAACTGACCACAGGAATTTGTAATATATCTGATAGAAAAACCAAGAGTTTTCTAATTGCATACCTAGCAAATTCAGGAACCAGCTTTAAAATGCTGAAAAGATTTTGAATGCATGCTGTATGAACATATATCCTAAACGGACACCTACAAGTAGTAAAATAAAAAAGAACATGGATGCTGGAGACCTGAAACAAAAACAGGAAATGCTGGATAAACTCAGCAGGACTGGCTCTCCACAGATGCTGTCAGACCTGCTGAGTTTCTCCCACACATCCTGAACTTGCAAGTTGCAAGTTTCTTTGAAACATTCTAATCATAGATCATTGAATCCCTACAGTGCGGAAACAGGCCATTCCGTCCAACAAGTCCATACCGACCCTCAGAGCACCCACCCAAACCCATCCCCCTATAACCCACCTAATGTCCAAATTCCTGAACTACAGGCAATTTAGCATGACCAATCCACCTAGCCTGCACATCTTTGGACTAGGGAGGAAACCGGAGCACCCAGAGGAAACCCAAACAGACACAGGGAGAATGTGCAAACTCCACACAGACAGTCACCCAAGGGTGGAATTGAACCCAGGTCCCTGGTGCTGTGAGGCAGCAGTGCTAACCACTGTGCCGTAATGTACAGAAGACCTATACTGCAATGCTCAGAATGCATCTTTGTTTTTTTAAACGAAATTTAAAATGGTATTTAAGCCAATTATATTGAATACTGTCAAATTAAATTGCTCGAAGTGCAAGACAAATTCGAGGGAGAGCACAAAATCACCAAATTATACCAGGTTTAAACTAGGTTAGGAGTTAAGAGTACAGCAGGCCAGGCAGCATTAGAGGAATAGGAAAGATGACGTTTCAGGTCGGGACCCTTCTCCTGACATAACCTGTCCATGCTCTCTCCCGCCTATCCGCTCCTCCCACCTCACTGACCAATCTCCACCACTCCCTTCCTGCACTCACCCATCACCATGCCACCTACCTTCCCCAGCCCAACACTTCCTCTATATTTCTGAGCTCCCTTCCCTCCCACCCATAAAAGCATTTCTGAAGAAGGGTCCCGACCTGAAATGTCAATTTTCCTGCTCCTCTGATACTGCCTGGCCTGCTGTGTTCCTCCCGCTCCACACTGTGTTATCTGTGACTCCAGCATCTGCAGTTCTTACTATCTCTTAGGAGTTATGAAGCCTGGTTGCAAAAAGCTGATTTGTATATCTGTGTTCAGAAGGTTCAGGGGTAATGTAATTGACAGGATAAAAGGATCTAATGAGCAGATACAAGAAAACTATTTTTTTTTCTAATGGGTAAATCAAAAATGGGCAGCACAATCTTTAAATTAGTCATGCCATTCAGAAATGAAATGACAAGGAGTAGAAAATTACAACTCCCTTTCCAAAAGATTGTGGTTGCTGGAACAATTGGAACTTTCAAAACCGAGATCAATATATCATTAGCGAGGGCATCAAGGAACATGCAAGTTAAGACATGACCAGCTTTGATCTAACTGGACATAGAGCAAGTACAAGCAGATAGATAGCCCACTTCTGTTCTTACATATCTACACAAGTGCTTTCTGCTTATTAACACAAAACATTTTTGAAAATTAAAAACACGACTAATTGAATAATTAAAATATATGACGTGTTTATGCTCCAAATTAACACATGAATTTTATTTTATGCAAACACTTACCTTATTCTTTCATTGGCTGTGGAAATTATTGCTAAGGTCAGCATGCGTTGCCTACCCCTAACTGCACTCGACAGCAGTCAAGGGTCAACCACATTTTTATGTGTTTTACTCAGTTGAGATAAGGATAACAGCTATTTTTGCCTTCAGGAAGTTTGTAAAACAAACAGGTTTATATAACAGTCATTGGTAGTTTCATGCTCATCATTACAGAGACAAGATTTACAATTTTACTGATTGAATTTAAAATTCACCAATTGTCATGGTGCGATTTGAGCCTGTCTCCAAAACCTCACCAGGTACTCTCTAACCATTATACCATCATCTCCCCTTATAATGGAGAAACATTCCTTCTTAATATTTGTACCTTCAGTATTTTTCATACAGCTACTTTATATTCTAACTTATTTCAGAAGATTTTTTGCATAATGCTTATGAAAGGCCAGATGCAAAAATAGAACAATTCACTTACTTGTTCCAATGTGTCTTTGAATTACGATACAGGGATGGGAACATAATGGGCAAGATCTTGGCAGCATTGTCACTAATTAGACTCATGATGTACTCATTATTCCAATAGTACAAGGCTCGCTCAGCCACCTAGGTCAAAGAATGCACATTAAGAGAATAAAAGTAGTAAGACATCACTTGCAACTACAAGGAATTCATGTGTTTTTATACAGAAGAGGCAATCTTTGTTATTACTTGATACAGTCCATTGACAATTTTAATAGTTTGGTCAGAACCATGCTATATGCTTTAAAATAACATGTATTATAGTGAAAGCATAAAAATTATCCAAATTCTCTTCTTTACAACTTAGAGCTCACCTGAAAGTGTGGACTGGAAACACACTTAGCCAACTGTCGAAATAGGGGTTCCATAACTTTTACAAATTCTGATGGTTCAATTACATCTAAAATCTCTTCCAATTCATTTAGAAACATCACTTCCTTTGGACTATGGGTTTTTGGCCAGTATTTGAGCAATGCCATAACCACCTACAAAAAGTCAAAATACTGTTGGAGCCATATATTTTGAAGCACATTAATTAACTTAGAGAAGTCAATACAGCAAAAGTTCAGCAATTGAATGAAAATGTATAGCTATTAAACTAATCAGTCATTTTTTCAGCCCATTAGAGCATTAATCTGCTCTAATCCCATTTCCAAACACTTGGTCCACAGCCTTACATGCTATGCACTTGCGCGTTCATCGAAATACTTTCAAATGTTGTGCTGCTTCTCATCTCCACAAGCCTTTCAGACACTGAGTTCCAGATACCCATCACTCTCTGGGTAAAAAATCCTAATTCCTAAAGTCTTAAACAGCTCCATTATAACCTCTGTAGGAAAAATTATTGCAAATGCTGGAATCTGTACTGAAAACAAATGCTGGAGATTACAGCAGGTCAGACAGCATCCATAGCAAAAGAGCAAGCTAATGTTGAGTTTAGATAACTCTTCATTAAAGCTGAAGTGAAGTATGGAGGGCACAGCAATTATGCTATAGTTTGGGAGGTTAGTGGGTGTAGGGTGCTGGTGGAGAAAAAATGTTGATAATTCAGATAAAGTGATCGGAATGGGACAATAGCATTTAAACTGTAGCACAAATGCTGTCTCCTCCACACTTCACTTCAGCTCTGAAGGGTCATCTAGACTTGAAACGACAGCTGGCTCTTTCTCCATGGATGCTGTCTGACCTGCTGTGATCTCCAGCATTTGTTGTTTTCCATTATAACATCGGTGCTCTTGCATTTGACACTGAGTACTAAAGGCAAGTAAGTATTCTGTATCCCTTCTTATCTACCTTATTCAATGGTCCTTTTGCTTTTAAGGATCTGTGGGCATGCACACCAAGGTCCCTCTGATCCTCTGTACTTTCTAAGATACTACAATTCATCATATACTCCTTCGTCTTGCTAGTACTCCCAAAATGCACCACCTCTCTTTTTTCTGGATTAAGTTTAACATGCCACTGTTCAGCCCATATGGCCAGCCTGTCTATTCCGCAATCTAAGATTTGCCTCCTTGCTATTTACCACACAAGTTTGTGTCATCCGTGAACATACTGATCAAACCTATATTCGGGTACACTACATACAAAAGAACCCAACATGAATTTTGCTACATGCCACTGGACACAGGCTTCCAGTCATAAAAACAATCTTCGATCATCATCCTCCACCCCCTGCCAGCAAGCCAATTTTGGATGCAATTTGCCAAATTATCCTGGATCCTCATCATCTCGACCAGTCTCACATGTGACATGTTTCAAAGGCTTGACTGAAATCGACTGATGTTGTACCCACTGGCCCATAGTGACATCTATTATTCCTATCACCCCTTCTTGAATAATACCACATTAGCTCCCCTGCATCTCTCTCCTGTGGACAGAGAGGATTTGAAAATTAATGTCAGGACAACTGCAACCTCCTTACTTGCATCTCACAGAAGTCCGAGATACACCTCATCTGGGCCTGGGGATTTATTCCATTTTAAGGCCACTAAAACAGTAATAATTTCTCCCTCTCAACTGTGCTTTGTTCAAGGACATCAGAGTTCTCCCAACTGGTTTCTATACCTATATCATCCTTCTCTATAGAGATGTAGAGTACTCCCTTAAAATCTCACTTGCATTTTCCAACTCCATTCATAGTTTATCACACTAGTTTCTAACAGGCTTGCCTCTTTCCTCGGTTGTCCTCTTGTCTCGAACATTTTTGTGAAATGTCTTTGACTTTTCCTTTGTTTTACCTGCTAATGTTCCTTCGTACTCCTTTTCGCTTTCGTGAATTCTCATTTAAGTAAACCTCTACAATCTCGATGTGCCTCTATGGCTTCCAGTGTTTTGAACTCAGTATCTACAATAAACATCCCTTTTTTCCCTATCCAATCCTGTACATTCCTCTACATTTAGTGTTCACTGTACTACACTAACCTTCACCTTTAAGGGAACATGTTGGCCACACTCTTTTTGAAAGACTCCTATTGCATTTATAAAATTTCCTATAGGTTGCTGCTCCCAGTCCACTTTGGCCAGATCTTGTCTCATCAGATTAAAATTGGCTCGCCTCCAGTTCAGAACCTTTACTTCTATTCCATCTTTGTCCTTTTCTATAGCTACTTCAAATGTTACTGAGTTATGGTCACTACCACCGAATTGCTCCCCCACCATTTCTACCACTTGCCTGGCTTGGTTCCCAAGAATTCAGTCCAGTACCATGCCCTCCCTTGTCAGGATTTCTATGTGCTGTCTTAAAATAATCATCTCGATAAACTGTGAGAATTCCATCCCTTCTGCGACTTGCACATTTTGCTTAACTCAGTTAGTATTGGGGAAGTTGAAAGCCCCCGCTATAAGCATAACCATAAATCTGAGATTTATGTACATATCTTCCTTTCTTTCTCTGTCTGTTTGGGGGTCCAAAGTACATTCCCAATTATATGACTGCCTCCTTTTTTGGTTTCAAGTTCATAATGCAAGTAGCCTCAATTGAGGGATAATCTACAGTATCATCCCTTTTTATTATAGTCATTGTCTCCTTGATCAATACTGCAACATCACCTATTCTTGTACATCTCTCCAAAGATTCCTATACTTTGGATTATTGAGCTGCCAGTCCTGCCCTTCCTTGACCATGGTTATGCAATAACAATATCATATCCCCGTGTGTTAACCAGCACCCTCAACTCATCTGCCTTACTCTCAAGACCCTTTACATTGGAATAAATGTCATCCAGTTTTGTTGTGCTCCCTTGTGCCTCAATTTGATTATATCCATTGTCTTCCACACTTGCTTACTTTTTCTTTCAAATTGGTTTGTTCATCACTCCCTCATGCATTTCCACTCCTCATCCCAATACCCTGCCAAATTAGTTTAAATCCCCAGCAACAACACTAGCACAAACAAGCATGTGAAACTACTGGTTATCAATAAAGTAATTACATCACAACATTAGTTGCCTTCTGATGACAGCTAGAAAGCAGCCCCTTTTAGCATTGTGTGACTGCAATGTGTTATCAGCTGGCACAAACAGCATGATGTGGTCCAATTAAGCCAAATAACTGCCACATATTTTGCAAAAACTAACCTATAGCCACTATTCTGTAAATAAATTTCTTCCTATATGAGCTATTTCTTTAATCTGCAGATATCCAAAAAATAAACTTTATACAGCAATGTACATCATTAACTGCATCAATTAACTGGAACTCATTTGTTATTGGTAACATAGAAAGAAGATAATTAATATGATTAGAATTAAAGATTTCTGGAACCAGAAAATACAGCCAGTGCAGGCTAATTATTTCGCAAAAAAATTACATCATATTCATTACAATTGATTTTTGAACAGGTTAAATCAAAATAAAACAGATCAACTAAAATGTAAATTTGAAACGTAAATAGATGCTATGTATTTCAAAAATAACCATAGAATGCATTATGAACACTTAAGCACTGATAAAAGCTACACACTTCCAAAAATGCATTCTTCAGAATCTTTAAACAAAACAGAACACTAAATCCCCTTCTCAAATCATTTTAATTAAGGTAAATTAAGGTAAATACATCACATAATTGAGGTAAACTCACAGGTTCCGTGAGAGTGCTGTCTTTCTCTAAGAACTGCACCACACAGTATGCCAGCTGAAGAAAGGACAGAAAGCAACTGGTTAAAGCACCACATTATTTTTCCTTCTATGACTTGGAATACGCTTGCATCGTTGGATTAGTAGCTCCATAGTACCTTCTAATCAAGTAAAACAAATGTGATTTACACTGTTCCAAACTTATTTTGCATGGTACTAGTCTAACATCAAATACAGATCTCCCTGTCTGATAAGTGATTAATGCTTTCATTAATGCCAATAAGTGCTAATCTGCAATTTACTCTACCACAGGGCAATGGAATCAGATACCTAATCCCAAATTTAGGTTCTGTTCTCATTTAGCAGTATAGTTTATTTCATACTGAATGTCATAGCTGCAACATCACACCTGTTCAATGTGTCTAGTATTTCAGCAATAAAAGCATGAATGTTTTTTTTGAAAATGAGTAGAGCAGAAGAAAAATCAGAAAATTCCACTAATGAAGTAGATACCTAGAAAACATAAGGTGCAGAAGGAAACCATTGTGCACATATCATCCGAAAAAGAGTTATTGAGTCTAATTCCATCTTTCAACTATTAGTCCATGGCCAAAGGTTATAGCTCAAGTGAAGTTTTTTTTGAACGTGATAAGGGGGATTTCTGCTCCAGGCACCGAGATCCACATTCCCACCTCTCTGGTGGGAAAGTACTCCTATATTCTATCAATTACTGGTTACTGACCTCACTGTTAAGGGAAACAGGTCCCTATACACATCAGTTTAATCTCTCACTGTCAAATTCAGCCCTTTGCTTCCCATCACAGAGTCAATTTTAGATCCGACTTCCCATTTTCCCTCTGATATCATGGGTTTTTTTAAATTTACTGACCATTATGCCTCATGGAATCTTGTCAAAAGCCCAGCTCAAACCCAAGCAGACTACATCAATACATTAATCCTCTTCACCTATTCTGGATAATTCCTTAAAAATAAATTCAATCAAGCGGAATGACATTCCTGTAACAAATAGATTATAATTGTCCTTGATTAGGTGATGTCCTTCCAAATATCAATTTATATAGTCCTTCAGAAATGTTTCCAACGTCTTACTCATTACTGACGTCAGGCTGATTGGCCTGGAAATACTTAGGTTTCCCCCCTCTCTCTTTTTAAAAGGACAGTTCAACATTAGAATTTGTGTCGCATCACATCTGTAGTCAGAGATGACTGAAAAAAGGCTAGAGTTTTAAGTCTTCCATAGTATCCCTACAGTGTGAAAACAGGCCATTTGGCCCAACAAGTCGACTCTCCGAAGAGCAGCCCATGCAGACTCACCCCCTACCCTATCCCTGTAACCCTAGATTTCCCATGACTAATCCACCTAACCTACACATCCCTGGACACTATGAGCAATTTAGCAAGGCCAATCCACCTAACCAGCACATCTTTGGACTGTAGGAGGAAACGCATGCAGACACGGGGAGAATGTGCAAACTCCACACAGACAGTTGCCAGAGTGTGAAATTGAACCCGGGTACCTGGTGCTAAGAAGGAGCAGTGCTAACCACTGAGCCACCGTGCTGCCCCTTGCTTCTCTTAACCTAGTGGACACGTTGATTTATCTACTTTCAAGAATTCTAAACACACCAATAATTCCTTTTTTTTTTTAAAAACTTTTTTTTCATTCAAATATTTCACACACCTCCACATTAAATACAACTGCTTCACCCCCTCAAGTGTTTCAGTTGCGCACCTTAAAATAAAAATTCTGCCAATAAGACATGGGAGAATATAGCAGAATGAATAAATACACTAATTTGCAAAACAGATTGATGCCAACGGCATGGGTTCAATTCCCGCACTGGTTGAAGTTACCAAGAAGGATTCTCTTTCTCAACCTCTCTGCTCACCTGAGGCGTGGTGACCCTCAGGTTAAACCACCACCAGTTGTCTCTCTCTAATGGGAAAGCAGCCACATGGTCTGGTAAGAGTATGGTAACTTTACCTTTGCCTTTAATGGTAAAGTTAAACCTATCCCTACTTACATTTAAAACCAGTGACACCAAGGCTCTATTTAGACCGATTTCTGTTGAATTTTCCAGAAAAAAACTGAATATAAAATAAACAATTCTCCTTCAGAATGTGCCATTTATAAAGTCACATCACAGACTAAGAACATCTGATTTGTTTGTGAAAGTACTTGCAAATGAAAATCCACGATAGTATACAAGGTATGTCATAATAATAACAACACATTGAAACATACGTTCCACTGAAAATAATGGCTTGTTATTCAGTTCTAAAGTTGGTAGAAACTGTCCCTCCATTAACAGAGGAAGAAGTTCTGGAGGCAAGTTTTACTCAATCCAATTTAAAATTAAAGTTGTTGAAGTGACAATTGTCCCCTATGCAACTGGTAGGAAAATACACCTTCCAAAACAAAGATTATAGCATGCAGAGACAAAGAAAATAAATATATTTTTAATGTATCTAAAAGATTTAATGTCACAGGATCTGCCTTTGTTTGACAGCAGAGAGATAACATTACAATTCCGAATTATGGAATGGGTTGATAAAATTTGAATTAGCTTTACTTCACTGTTTCGCGCGAGTACGTGACAAAGTTTACAAGTCGCCACTTACGGTGCCATCTCAGGTACAAATTTACCTACGTAAAGATTCTGGAGGTCAAATTCTTAGGAAAAACATTAGAAAAATAGAAGAAATGAAAAGTCCAGCATTACAGATTTTTGCGCCATCTTAAGTACAAAAGTATAAAATCATAGAAGTAAATTAGAATAACAGTCCTTCCAACCTGGTTTGTGCAGGCCCTCACCACCAGACTGCAGGGGCCCTTGCCTCAAAACCGGGAGCCCGTGGTCTGTGATGACTTTACTTGAGGCTCAAGGACAGGAAGTAAGAAGAAAGGAGGAGAAAAAAAAAAAAAAAAAATCACGAAGAGAAAAATAAAGGACGGATCGTATGAGTTCTGGCTGACAAGTCCTACTCTTCCCCATCTTTGAGTAAGCCTATTAAGGCAGATAAATCTATTTCTGTTAACGACCACATTGTGACTCAGTATGGCTACGGTGTCAAAAAACCTGGTTTTGCACATTTTATTGAAATGAATCAGTGGTCATCTGTATAATGCCCTGGTATACGACTACAAATTTGGCTATAGATAGAAAGCTACAGGTGAAGAAGGCTAGAGATCAAAACAGATAGATAATAAAATAAATTGCAAAAGGTTTTTGAAAAATTTGAAGAAATTGACTTTTAACCTGGAAAGACAGTACAAAATAATTGAACATTTACACTAAACTATTTCACATAAAAGATAATTCAGTAAGAGGACTGATCACTAGGTTCATGAATGGTTTGAAAACTGGTGGACGGTAAACAGTGAGGACAGCAGACTTAGGTTACAGGAGGATACAGATGGCTGATCTGTGGCAAATGGAATTCAGTTTGGACAAATGAGGTGATGCATTTAGACAGGACAAGAAGTAAAGGGAATACATGATGAATAGTAGGACCCTGAGAAGTACCAAGGATCAGAGGGACCTTGGTGTGCATGTCCACCAGTCCGTTAAGGTATGAAGGCAGGTAGACGTAAAGGCAAATACTTGCCTTTATCAGCCTAGGCATAGAGGTTAAGAGGAGGGAAGTTATGCTGGAACTGAATAGAAGGTTGGTTAGGCCCCAGCTACAGTACTGTGCAATTCTAGAATCCACATTATAGGAAGGATATGATTACACTGGACAGGGTGTTGGGGAGATTTACCACCAGCTGCCTAGGCTGGAGACTTTTAGTTATGAACAGAGATTGGATGGACTGGGGTGTTTTCCTTGGAACACAGGAGACTGAGGAGGACATGACTGAAATGTATAAAATTATGGAGGGACACTGACAGGGTAGGTAGGAATAAACATTTCCTCTTGGTACAGGGATCAATGACCCGGGGCATGGATTTAAGGTATGGGGCAGGAGGTTTAGAGGGGATACAAGGAAAATGTTTTCATCCAGAGGGTGGTGAGAATCTGGAACACACTGCCTGCAGAACCAGAAACCCACTTAACATTCAATCAGCATTTAGATGTGCACGTGATGCAAAGGCATACGATAGGCCAAGTGCTGGAAAATGGGATTAGAATAGCTAAGTGCTTGTTTTGACTGGTGCAGACCCGATGGGACCTTTTCTGTTCTGTAGACCTCTATGATCAAGACTCTATGAGTGAGTTAATGGGAAAGACAAGAAAAGGCAGTAGTCAAAAAATGGGCTGCACAGAACAAGATGCACATCTGAAGGAAGGGAACATTCCGACAATGGAATACCAAGTTAACACCAGATGCTAGGACTTTTGATCCATAATAACCATAAGTTCTAACTGCTGCTTTCTATAAAGAGATTCAGAGTTAAGGTGGTTGGCATGGTTGCTGTCAGGATACAATACTGCAATTCTTCCTTTCATGGAAGGACCAACTTTAGCCAAGAAATATTCCATTATCACGTTTTTCAATGGAACTAGAGTTACAATATATTGACTTATGGCTAACCACATTGAATAAACTGGATCAATACTAATGAAGTAATTCAGAAATGGCTGTCCAAATTCCTACTTATTTTTTAAAAATCAGTTTCCACAAAATATGTATTCAATATTTACCTGTGGATGATAGACACTGAGAGATTTTACTTTGTGGAGTGGTAACAATACTTTCAGCAAGAAAACTTTGTGTTCTTCTTTCAATGGCAAGGCAAATCCATTAATTATGCTACAGCAAGAAGAAAAAAAATGTTAGCCAATGAAGTACTCACACTACCTATCTACTCCAAATACTTGAAACAAAAATTGGCTTCCAGCAAATCGGTGGTACTGCTGCAGATGTGTTCAAGTTCAGTTGTTTTAAGGGCATCCTCCCATAATCACATACAATTAGTCACAGAACTTAGACTGCAGCTGAAGGAACTTTGGCTTAGAGTTACTAAGTTGGAGGCTGTGCCACATATCAAGAAGGGAGAAATTACTTGGACACTGTTTCAGGAAGCAGTGAAACCCCTTAGGACAAGGTTATCTGATTTGGTCCGTTATTTACATTTGGAGGATGCAACTGCAAGTGAGGTAGGAATGGGGAATTGAGAAGACAGAAGTGGAGGAGCCACAGTCCTTGTGATTGTCAAACAGATTTGAAGGTCCTGCAGTCTGTATGGACAAAAGTTTATGCTGCAAACTGGATGAGTGAACTGACCATGATACTACAGCACAGGAAGCCAACCAGGCAACATTTTTAGGAACATAGTGATAGTAGGAGATTGTAACAAGGGTAGTAGAATAATCACGGGAACTTCAATTTACATGTAAACCGAATAAATTGTCTTAACACTAATACAGTGAAGAATAAATTTCTGAATGCATACAAAATAGTTTTCTAGTACAGTATGAACCAACCGGAAAACAGGCTATTTTAGACTCAGTATTGTATAACAGGATTTAATTAATAACTTCAATGTGAAGGAGCTTCAAGGAATGAGTAATCACAATGTGATGGAATTTTACATTAACTTCTGATTTGTAGGGATCAAACTTTAAATAAAAGGTTATAAGGATCAAATTGCTGTGTAGCTGATCATACATTAAGAAGGTATGATGATGGACAGGCAATGTTAATACATGACCTATTATTAATTTATATTCCTTTGAGATATAAAAACAGCAAGTGATCCAATCATGGCTAACAGAGAAATTAAAGACTGTATTGGGGCAAAGGAAGAGCTCATAAAGTTGCCATGAAAACACTGCATCTGAAGATTGAGAACATATCAGAATTTAGTAAAGGATGAACATTAAATTGATAAAACAAGAGAAAACAGAATATTAAAATAAAAAGTCTCTCTCATTTTTCTAAACTCCAGAGAGTATGGTCCTAAACTGCTCCATCTCTCTTCATAAGACAAATCCCTCCTCTCTGGAATCAATCCACTGAACCTCCTCTTAAGTGCCTCAATGCAACTACATCCCACCTCAAGTAAGGGGATTCAATGCTCCAGGTGCAGTCTATACCTGCATACTAGTTTTGTGTGATTCATATTTCTTGCTTGTTAACTATGGGTGGTGAGGTGTACAATTTACAAAATATGTAACTGAATTTTCAATTAGAGAAAAAAAATCCTAACTTCGTTTTAGCAAGTTGAATCATTCAACTGGTTCGCTTACTTATTGTTCTGCCAGGCAATTTTCATTGGTTATTGGGAGTTTTCTGCATATCTGCCTCCTTTTTGATTTCTACATTTCTTACAAAACCTTTTAATTCTGCATTATTGCTATTTTATCTTAAGCTAAATTAACAAAACATGACAGCAAAGAAGTGACAGAAATACAGCAAAAGGAAGTAATGACAAACAAAATATGTCAACACATATTTCTAGCACATCTCTCATGTTAGGCCAGACAGACCTAACAGAAACAGAGCAGGAATAGGCCTTTGACCCTTCACTACTGACCTGCCATTCAATGTGATTACGGCTGATCACAGAACTCAATACCCTAATCCTACAACGCCGTCCTCCCCCCATCTCTTGATCACTTTAGCCACAAGAGCTATATCTACCTCTTTCTTGAAATCACAATGCTTTGGCCTTTCTTTGATAGTGAATTCCACAGGCTCACAACTCCCTGGGGTAAAGACATTTTTCTGAACTCAGTCCTAAAAGGTTTAGTCCTTATACTTAAACTATGACCCCTGGTTCTTGAATCTCCCACTTTGACAGCATCCTTCCTGTATCTAATCTGTCTGGTCTGGTTAGAGTTTTGTAGGTTTTTACGACATCCCCCCCTCATTCTTCTAAACTCCAGCGAATACAATCCTAACTGATTCACTCTCTTCTCATACATCAATGCTATCATCCTAGAAATCAATTTGGTAAACCTTTGCTGCACCTACTCTATACCAAGACAATCCTTCCTCAGATAAGGAGGCCAAAACTACAAGCAATACTCTAGGTGTGGCGTCACCAATGCCCTGTATAAGTGCAGCAAGACATTCTTGCTCCTGAACTCAAATCCTCTTCCTATGAAGGTCAACATACAGTTTGCCTTCTTTACTGCAACTGAGCACTTACTTTCAGTGACTCTCAACTTCTCTATCTGTCTCCCATAACCCTCAACTCTGATGTCAAACAAAAATTGGAGTTCCTTAGCAATGAATAAATTCAGTGACCCTGCCTACATTGCTCAGAAGAAATTGCACATCTCCATTTTAAATAAGAGATCCCCAATCCGAAACTGTGCCTTCTAGTTCTGAAAACCCCATGAAAACATTCTCACCATTTACCCTGTCAGGCCTCTTTAGAATCAGTAACATCACCTCTCCTGTAAACACCAATAAGTATAGATCCAACTTACTTAACATTTTATCATAAATCAACTCTCTAATTCCAGGAATACAGAGAACAGGAGCATGACAGGCTGCAGGTATCGAAAAAGAACCAAGAAAAGGACTAGGATGGAATTGAAAATGAGTTGGAAAAGATCATGTACAAATAGAGTGCAGATGATTGCAGGAAACTAGCAAACAAGGCACGGGACAAAGAAAGAAGCAGCAGCAAGCTGGAATAGAAATTTGTTTATATTGAAAACAAAAAAATACTACGGTCACATAATCAATAGATATGTCACTCTTATCTGTATAAATCATCCTGTTGCTAAATTTTACTCTCCTTTTTTGTTTCCCTCTCCCATTTTTCCTACTTTGTCTTTTATTCTATTTCCCTTTCAGAAGAGATGCAGATGCTTTGGTGTAGCAGAAAGGAAATTCAAGTTAGTAATGGAGTACTGAATTTTGCACTTGTGGGTAAACAATAGATTTCTCCTGGCCATATCTACAGATTGTAGGCAAATGTCAATTATATGAGGAATTTTGTTACAGCTTCTTGGTGAATGTGGGGGTGCATGGTGGTTTAGATGAGTCTAAATGGCAGGTTGGAAATGAAAGCAAAGCAAATGGACTTCCAAACTGCTTGCCTGATGTCATACAGGAAACTCGCCAGAATGGCAACTGCTGCAGCCATGGGAATACCGAGGTGCAGCAGAGCCGTGAAGAAGGCAGATACTTTAAGAGGCTTTAGAGAGAGGCTGGCATGTTTATATGGCTAGACTCTATTGCTCAGAGGTCAAACTGACAGTAGGATGGAATTATCAGGGCTATGCCAAGCTTTTTGGGACGAAACAATATACAATAAACAATAATATGAGGGTAAAGGTAAAAGTGGAGCTGAGAGAAAAGTTGACATAATGGAACCTAAATATCCTGAAAGGTGAAGCATGAATGAAAAGTGGAAAGGGACTGGGATCAGAGGCAGAAACTACACTAATAAGATTTCTGGGATAATTTTCATATTGGCTCAGATTTGGAATTCAGGCAGATGTTGTAACCTAAAAAGGGAGTAACACAAGGGAACAAGCATTACAAAAAAAATCAAAATTTCCTTGAAATTACGTGATTGCCAATGTTATATGCCTTCCTTATAATTAAGCACTGACATCGAGTATCAAGGTATATGCCTCAAAACCTCCCCCATCCATTAATTGTTGAGACAGTTATAAAATATATTCTTTCCTGTACCTGTTTTAACACTAACAAAATGCTTTGCTAATTGGACATTTTTCTAAAACAGCAATCTGGATCATTTATGAATTGTTCTGAAGGCTTTCCTCTACAATAAAGCACGTTACTTATTCTTACTTGGGTACAAAACAGGAATGCAATGCACTAAAAAGATGCCAAACTGATGTGTGACTGAAGTCTTCAGACACTGTGAGAATTATTAGTGATGTTGCACTAGTCTCCATTTGTAAAACAAATTAATTGACATCACATCATAGTGACAAACTAACACACATGGACTCTTCGATTTTAATTTTAAGAAATCCAAGAGATAGAAACAAACAAACAGATAATGAGACACAAATTAATTTTTGGAATTACAGTTGGTTGCTGTCAGTTTTACTCTTTCAAAATGTCTCTTGCTTTCAATTGTCTTGAGTTCAATGTTTTAATCAACTTTCTTTATATTAACACAAGCTTGAGTGTCCAATTTATTTTTAACACTAAACTAAGCATTTTTGGAAATGAAAACAGGTTTCAGAAAGGTCCATTCTCAGTGCAAAGCACCCAATTGATCAAAAAAAAAACTTAGAATAAAATAATTTCTGAATGGATTATAATATTGCATCTCTTGGAAAGAAGCTATAAGTTTACTATTTTCCTTGTTAACATTTCACCAGTGCAGATTATTGATCTCTTTTGTTATAAGACTGTAGCTTGAAATATGGTAGAACATTGCCTTTTCTAAATTTACTGTGTTCAAATACACATAGGATGCATTGCCCAAATGTAATATGCAATTATCCTGACCATTACTGTTGCTGTGGTTATTTGTTGAGCATGCGTGTGAATTTTGAAAGCAAATGCAGAAATAGTAGATGCAATGGTCATAACCATTCAGTCACCTAAATCCTACGTTTCAGTAAATTGGAAAACTGCAAACATTACATCTCTATTTAAAGACAGGAAGAAGATAGAAATCAGAACCATATAGGCAACTGGTCCAACATCTATCATTGGAAAAGTACTAGAATTCCTAAGGAGTTTTAGAATATCATATTTGAATCAGGCAAAGTCAGAGACAGATGAAGGCAAAGTGTGTGAAACTAATTAGAGTTCTTTGCGGAAGTTACAGACAGGATGGATGAAGGGGGCTGTGATGCTGCTTATTTGCATTTCCAAAAGGTATTCACAACAAGGTACCACATAAAAGATCACGACTCTTGATAAGAGCTTGCCTAACTACCAGGAAACAGAATTATGACAAACTGATCACTTTCAGAATGACAAATAATAATTGTGGTAGAAGAATCAGCACTGGGATCTCAAACTTTTAAAACCTATATCAATGACAAGGATGAAGGGCCACTTTGCATTGTAGCCAGACTTAATAATGATACAAACATAGATAGGAAAGGGATGAGTATGCAAAAGGACATGGATTAAGTGAGTGAGGAATATAATGTGGGGAAATATGAGATTGTTCACTTCAGCAGGAAGAATAGAAAAGTAGATTATTATTAATAATGGAATTTATTAAATTCTTCAATGGAAAGAGACTACAGGATGTGGTGGTACAGAGAGATTTGTATGTTCTTGTATATCTCAAAACAATAGCAGACAGGTACAATGAATAATTAGGAAGACAAATGAAATGTTGGTCTTTATTGTGAGAGAGATGGAGCATAAAATAGGGAATCCTTGCTACAACTGTACAAGGAATTGGGGAGATCACATTTAGGGAGCACTAGGTACAGTTTTGGTCTCTTTACTGAAAGAACAATATATTTGTAATGGAAGCACTTCAGAGACCAGTCACTAGATTCTTGCAAGGAAAGTTTGAACAGACTGGGCCTATTTGCATTGGTGTTGAGAGGAACGAGGGGCAATTTAGCTTAGTTGGCTGGGTTGTAACACGAAATTGATGGCAATGGTGTGGGTTCAATTCCTGTACGTTCAATTCCTGTACCAGTTCCAGTTACAATGAAGCAATCTTCTTCTCTTCTCAACCTCTCCTCTCACCTGAGGCACGGTGACCCTCAGGCTAAACCATCACCAGTCTACTCTCTTGAATGAGAGGGCAGCCCCATAGTCCTCTGGGACTATAGTGACTTTAGCTTAATCTAGTTGAAGCATAAGATTCTGAGGGACCTTGACGGGATAGATGTTGACAGGTTATATTTTCCCTTGAGGCCAATCTAGAAAAATAAGGTTAACTGCATATAGGCCATTCATTTGATAACTGTATGTGCACAAATGAAGAGACAAGCTGACTGATATTGATGGTAGGGATGTGAGGCTTATAGAGTTGCAAGCTATTCATTTGTAATGTTTAACTTCATAATTAAATCAAAAGTGAAAAAAGATAAGACTTTCAGCCTTCATCAATTCATTGTAAGGAATTCAACAGGCACACTAAAAATAAGGGTGTCTACTATTTAAGAGGAAGATGAGGTGGAATTTCTTCTGAATGTAGTTGGCCTGTGGAATTTTCCTCCCCAGAGAGCAGTGAATCAATCTGCCAGATATATGAATCATGCTGCAATTTACAACACCAAATCTCATCACTTTTTTGGGAAATACAACTGAAACAGTGGGCACGGGACTAGCCCCAACCTGTCAACCATTATTTTGTTTTTAAATTGTGTGCATACATTTACTTGCATTGCTATTCTACCTTTCACTTAAAACCATCTCATACATAGGTTGCACAATACAATTAATAAATAAACTTTGAGAACTTTATTTAAAGTTCAACACCTGACCCAAAGAATACAAAATGGTATAAAATTCCATAGCAGTAAACTTTACTTAAGTTTCTATTTTCAAGTATTTCAAAGTATGAGTTTGCTGCTCATTTTTAAATATTTTTCTCCCTTCCCCTTCTCAAGTAAGCATACACACATATTTTGAGATAGTTTTCTAAACTCTCATGTAAATTTTAATTTAGATATATTTTATAAATTTCTCAGAATACATCCTTAAGTATTGTTGAACATCAACTTTATCATGTTAAAGATGTTAAAATCACTTGCATTTCCTGTGACTTTCATCGTTCTTGGCTACTTCTGCATGAAACATAATGCAGTTATTTGCTGCTTTAATCGAATTGTAATACTTCAAAGATCTTATCTATTTTCAAGTGCAAATTACAGGTCAAGATTTTTGTTAATATAAACACCTACTGGAATAATAAACCTCGTCACAAGCACACACATACTTAAATGCATTACCACATGGGAGCAAAACAAGTACCAACAACCTACTTACATTTCCTTTTGATATACCACAGACCTATTTTTAAATATTTCTACTCAAACAAACTATACTCACATGCACACTCTCTTCTGGTAGTTATGGTGGTTATAAATCGATACTTTTGACTAAATGTTCTTTTGAAAAAATAAGTATATTGCTTTCAATTGTCAGTTTTAAAATTCAGAATACCTCCACATTGCTCAAAGAAAATAGCAATTACTCACCTTCCCAAAATTTCCAATAATTCTGCTATACCATTGTGATGTTCAGTTTCATAAATAAACCTAGGACGAATGAAATAATTATAACATATTCAGAAAAGAATCACACTCAATCCTATTAACTAAATGTACAAGCCAGACAGCAATAGAGAATTATATAATTATAAAGAATTATAATTATACAAAAGGTTGTATTCTAGAAATCCAGTTCAGAGGTCCAATTTCATCATGCAAGTAGAGAAACGGAAATTAATTTGAGAGTGGGAAGTTGCTTAGTTGTGAAAAATATCAACTTGTAATAATATCGTACCTTTAAGATATTGGAACATGCCAAGGCATTCTTTACAGGACATGAGAAATATAACATTAAGCTACATTACGAGCAAAATCTTGGTGATGCATCACTTGTGCCATCACCCATCTTTTCTTATTTATATCTTTCAATCATCGATTCTCTTCTCTCTCAAATGCCTGTCTAGCTTTCACATAAACGAATCTATACTATTCACTTCAACCACTTCCTGTGGCACCAAGTTCCATACTGCCTCTACTCTTTCGGTTGAGAAATTTCTTCTGTATTCATAGTTGGATTTCTTGGCAACTCTTGGGCAGCACAGTGGTTAGCACTGCTACCTCTCAACGCCAGGGACCCGGGTTCAACCCCACTCTCAGGCAACTGTCTGTGTGGACTCTGCACATTCTCGCCGTGTCTGTGTGGGTTTCCTCCGGGTGCTCTGGTTTCCTCTCAGTCCAAATACATGCAGGTTAACTGGATTGGCAGAATTAAGTTGCCTACTGTATCCAGGGATGTGCAGGCTAGGTGGGTTAGCTATGAGAAAGGGTAAGGTTATGCAGTGGGTCTGGGTGGGATGCTCTTCAGAGGGTCAGTGCAATCTTGATGGACCAAATGGCCCCTCTCTGCACTGTAGTGATTTAGGAGTCTATGAAACTCTTAAAACTGATAGCCTCTAATTAGCACGAAAAAGAAAAGTTCACTCTGTACCTGCTCTATCAAAACTTTCAAGATACCTATTACGAAAAACCAAGAGAAAACTCCTACTGATCCATCACCAACTGCACTTCTTAAATATTAGATCAACATTCCTTCATATTGCTTTTAATCTGAAGAACAAAGGTCAAGAATGCATGCCATTTTGAGGACTTCAAAATTTTCCACTAAAGGCACCTTTATTGTACAAGCACTAGTCCAGAAGGGCAGGGTTCCCAGAGCGAGCTTGAGAACCAACCTACTCGCCCATGTACTGTCAAACATATTGGATAGTACTATCAGAAGTGGCTTTAGCACAAAACAACAAGATAAAATTCTGTCTCCACTGTAAGGTGTCATCACCACCATAAATGGGACAGTGCAAAGAAAAATCTATTTCTGAAATTAGGTATGAACAGCTGAGGTGAACCAAATACTGCCACATTGTGACTGGCCACATCCCTGAATCCTTGATCACAATCAAGTTAGGAGACCAACAATGGTTCAATATAGAGTATAAGAATATCTATCAGGAGTAGCACGATTCTAACTGCACATGCCTGGAGTCCAAGCACCTTAAATTAGGAGGCAGAATGTCAGTAGAGGAAGGAAGGAAGGAAAAGGAAGCAAATCCTACACTCCAGGTCCTACTACCTCATATAATGTCCTGCTGCACGTGCTCAAAAATCTGAGGGCTGAGAATTGACTTGTTCAATTCCATTAAGATAAATGGCAGAAACTTGCATCCCTGAGCAGATGCCATTCTCAAATTGAAAGACGATGATGCACAGCTTCATATTACATAATAACTTAAGAAAAGATAGTATACCGTGCAACATGCATGTCAAACACCAAACATTTTAGGTTACAAAAACATCTAAATAGCTCTGCACCCAACAGATGAGAGGAAAATTCTACTGCTATCACATCAGGTCAAGAATTGTGGCAATTAACCAGGAAACAGTCAAGAGAAAGCTTCATGAATATCCTCAGTCAGAATGGAGCCCAGGGTGCGGGTGCAATATAGAAGGCTGAAGTGCTTGCATCTGTCTTTGAATAGATGATCCTATTGTTTCTTTCTAATAGCTCCATTGTAAATATGACATACATTGGACTTAATTGGTTTACTTAAGTAACTTATGGCACTGAAAACTGCAAAGACTAAAAATCCCAACTAAAGTGTTGAAGATATTTAGACAAAAGCAGCTACTCTTCCAGCCAAGCTGCTTTGATACAGCTGTGATACAATGTGAATGATTGCCTAGCTATTTCCTAGATGTGTGTTTGTGTGTGTGTACACATATTATTTGTATATAAAAAACTGACTGTCACCACATTAGCCTTCTCAATCAGTACAGCAATGGAAGAAGTCATCAATAATGCCAAATTAATTATACTCCCCAATATCCTGCTTGATTCTCAGATTAAGCTCTGCTTGAATCATTCTATTTCAAATCTTATCAAAACCTTCAGCCAGACATGATGCAAGAGCTGGATGCTGGGAGGAGTTGGTCTCAATGTTATTTTACCAAGTAGGTCACCTAACGACTAGCAAAACTTAAATTAAAAAGGACTAGTGTCTTACTGATGATCATTGTGGTTGGCAGAGGTCAGTCATCCATAAGTCCCATGACAATTATGCACTGCTCCTCAGATAAGTGCGCATCCAATCAACTTACTTGTTTCATTAGATGATTTTTAATCCAAAAATAAGCTTATTCCATAATGTTTAACTCTAACAAGTTTTCCAATATCAAACCATTTTTGCCAGGAATCATAGAATCCCTACAGTACAGATAAACGTAATTTGGCCCACAAAGTTTGCACTTGGCTTCTGAACAACATCCCACCCTATTCCCATAACCCTACATTAACCATGGCTAATCCACCTAACCTGCACATCCCTGGACACTACAGGACAACTTAGCACGGCTAGTTCACCTAACCTGCACATTTTTGGACTATGGGAAGAAACTGAAGCACCCGGCAGAAACTCAGACAGACATAGGGAGAACGTACAAACTTCACATGTACAATCACCCAAGGCTGGAATTGAACCTGGGTTCCTGGACTGTGAGGCAGCAGTGCTAACCGCTGAGCCACTGTGCTGCCCCCCGGATGGAATTTTGAGTTGGGCTGATGAACAGCAAGTAACATTTTCAGAGTAAATAACAGAGGAAGTCTAGTTGTATCTTCATGATTTTCAGTGGTAGCATTACCTTGGAGCCCTCAGCAACCAGCAAATGAACCAGTCTTGTCCATTGTTATTATGATGTTACAAGAGCAACAGTACAATGATTCACCTTTAAATTTCTTAAAACCTCTCCACATTTACAACACCATTTAGGAAAGTGATGGAATATCTGTCACTCATCTGGCTAAGAGCAGCTGCAACACTTCTCAAAATAATCATATAACACAGAGATAGTAGGAACTGCCGACGCTGGAGATTCTGAGATAACAAGGTGTAGAGCTGGATGAACACAGCAGGCCAAGGAGCATCAGAGGAGCAGGAAAGCTGACACTTCGGGTCAAGACCCTTCTTCAGAAGAAGGGTCTCGACCCGAAATGTCAGCTTTCCTGCTTGGCCTGCTGTGTTCATCCAGCTCTACACCTTGTTATCTCATATAACACAGAACAGCTTGTTTGATCAGTACCTCCCATTAATGACACTTTGTAGCTGCAGTGTACATGATCAACAGGTGGCATTTCTCTCTCTCCTGTAATCTCCACTGCTGGATTATGAGTGACAACATAGCAAGAATATCATCATCCTTAAGTCACATGCAAGTTGCATATCTACTGCTGCTAATTAACCTCCTAGAATACTCTATCCTACGGCAACACCATCACCACCTTCAGTGTAATTACAGATGGATAATAAATGTGGTCACGCACAGCCCACATCCTTAGATTAAAATTGAAAGTCACACTGTGGTATGATCTGGCCAGATCATACCAAGCGTGCTTTATTCAATTCTGGCCAAAGTGCAAAGGAGTTATTAAAGCAGAGAAAGAAGATTAGGAGCAACAAGCTGATTTATGGTATTGGACAACTGTGGATTAAGACAACAGTGGACTTGAGAGTCTTGAAAGGTGACCATATGCAGGTTAATAGTAAGTTCAGAGAAAACTTTTGTGCTGAACCATTTGTAGAAGGAGCTCAAACTTTAAAAAGTACATTTAAGACTACAACCACCAGCAAGTTTCTTTTCAGAATAACAAAGCCATGAAAACTCTGGGATTGTTTAATGAGCAATTGAATTTCTCAATGGCAGGAAAAAGAATGTCACATAGATTACCTGCCCAGAAATGCCCAATGGTGGGTTGAAGAGTGTTTGCTTTAACCTCTTAAACATTCAAAGCAATTGGGATTCTAGTTTTAAAAGGTTACAGACTAGATGCCCAATTACTAATTTAAAAATATGGGATGTGAATTTATACAAGTTTTTGGTCACACACCTATAAAATATATTATTGATTTGTTTTCTGATATAAGCCCTTAGGCCCAAGAATTTTCCATAGATACGATGCAGAGTTGTTTTCAAGAAGTCTCGCTCACGTGGATCTTCACTGTCAAATAATTCTAATAGCTGTTGAAAAGAAAAAGTTAACGTTAGATTGAAAGTTTATGTATACACATGCATAATCCTGGCTAGGTAAGAACTATAACTTTTATTGGTTGCAAATGCTTGACAATTGTAAACAGGTCAGATAACATTAGTTTTGGAGACAGTCTGTGGCCACCCTTCAAAAGACTTCTCGTTCTCTTCACATTATTCTTTTTTCTTACTAACACCAAACTACACAGCCAACAAATCTAACTTGACAAAGGTGTATACAGTTGATGCAAATTCATCAGTTTGATCATGTTTATGCAGATATTTAATTAAGCTTAAAAATTGAAACTCAGGGGTTCTTGCAGTGTAGTGATAGCATCCCTGACTCTAGTCCACAAAGCCCGGGTTCAAGTCCCACCTCCTTCAGAAGTGTGTTGCAATATCTTTACAGGTTGAGGGTGCCAAGTTCTAATGAGGGAAGGAATAAAAACCATAGGAGAGATAACATATTGGCTGAAGAGGTAGTGCAATGTGCAGGGATTCAGTTTCTCGGATCACTGGGATCTCTTCTGGGACAGAAAAGACAGGTTTCACCTGAACTGGAAAAGGACCAATATCCTGGCCTTTGAGAGGGAGGGTGGGGACTTCATAACTAACAGCAAAAATAGAAAGATGAGGATGGTTCTGAATCAGAAAAGAGCAAGCTAATTAGCAAAGGCAGACATGAGCAAGTCAGAGAACAAAGTAACTGAAGAATTAAACTGCATTTATTTCAATGCAAGAGGTCTTAGATACAAGGCTGATTAACTCAGGGCATTATGGGAACATGGGACTCAGACATCATAGCTATTACAGAAACTTGGCTGAGGGAAGGACAGGACAGGACTGGAAGCTGAACTTTCCAGGTTTTAGGTAAAATAGGAAGGATGGAAAGAGAGGTGCAGGGGGAGTGGCATTTTTGGTTAAGGACATTTTTAAATCAAGGAAAACATAACTAATTAAAGAACATATTTCTAAGGGATCATTTAGTGAAAACATATAGGTTGAAATTAGAGATAAGAAAGGGAAGATCACCTTGATGGGATAGTACTATAGGTTCTCTCAATCATCAGAGCGAAATTGGGAAGCAAATATGTAGAGAGATCTCAAATATACGTAAGAATAATAAGGTTGTAATAGCAGGGATTTTAATTTTCCAAACATTGACTGCCGTTGTATTAAAGGCTTAGATGGTGAAGAATTTGTTAACTGTGTTCAAGAAAATTTTATTTATCAATATGTAAATGCTCCTTCTCTTGGGAAGGAAGATAAGGCAAGTGACTGAAGTGTTAGTATGGGAACACTTTGTGACTAAACGAACAGAATACTATTAATTTCAAAATAGTTATGGAAAAAGATGTCTGCCATAAAAGTTAAAGCTCTTAATTGGAGTAAGGCAAAGTTGATTGGAATAGACTGTCCAGAGGTAAAGGGGCGAATGACAAGTGGGAGGTCTTCAAAATTGTGGTAACAACAGTTCAGAAGCATTACGTTTCTATTAGAGTGAAAGGTAAGGCTGCTAAGACTAGGGAACAATGGATGAATGAAGATATTGAAGTTATAGTCAAGAATAAAAAAAACATATCAGATATGGACAACTAGGATCAAATAAATCTCTTGGACAGTATAAAGAGTGTCGAGCTATTCTTGAGGAGGACATCAGGAAGGCAAAGAGGGGAAATGAGATAGTCTTGGTTCATAAGATTAAAGAGAACCCAAAAAGATTCTACAAATACATTAACAGCAAGACAGCAATTAGAGACAGAGTAGGATCCCTTAAAGATTAACAATTTTGTCTTTGTGTTGAACCTCAAGAGATGGGAGAGATATTAAATGAATATGTCATGTCAGTTTTTACTGTTGACAAAGAAATGGAGGCTAGAGAACTCAGGGAAATAAATATTGATGTTTTGGAAACAGTTCATGTTACGAAGAGTACATGCTGGAAACTCTTGGAAAACGCAACAGGTAGACAAATGTCCAGGACCCGATCAAAATGTGTCCCAGGACACTGGGGGAGGTTAGGGAGGAAACTGCAGGGCCCCTAGCGGAAATATTTGCATGATCTACATACATGGGTGAAGCATTGGAGAACTGGAGGATGGCTAATATTGAGCCATTGTTTAAGAAAGGCTATGAGGAGAAGCCTAGAAACTACAGACCTGAGAGTCTGATGTCAGTGGTGGGTAAATTGTTGAAGGTGGCTCTGAAACATAGGATTTATATGCATTTGGAGAGACAAGGATTGATTGGGGAAAGTCAGCATGGTTTTGTGCGAGGAAAATCATGTCTCAAAAACTTGACTGAATTTTCCGTAAATGAAGTAACCAAAAAGATTGATGAGGGTAGAGCGACATACATTGTTTACTTGAACTTGAGTAAAGCCTTTGACAAGATTCCACGTGGTAGACTAATTTGTACGTTTACAATCACAACATTTAAAAGGCATCTGGATGGGTATATCAATAGAAAGGGTTGACAGGTCTATGGGCCAAATGCTGGCAAATAGGACTAGATTAAATTTGGATATCTGGTCGGCATGGACAAATTCAACCGAAAAGTCTGTTTCCATGCTGTATATCTCTATGACTCTAGTTACATTGTATCACATGGGATTCAGGGTGAGCTTGCCAACTGGATGCAAACTTTGCTTACGGTAGAAGACAGTGGGTCGTGGTGGTGGAGGAGAGTTATTTTTTGGACTCTAGGCCTGTGACCAGCGGTGTTCCACACGGATCAATACTGGGTCCACTTTTGTTTGTCAATTATATAAATTATTTGGATAAGAATATAGGAGGCATGGCTAGTATGTTTGCAGATGACACCAAAATTGGTGGTATAGTAGACAGTGAAGAAGGTTAACTAAGATTACTAAGAGATCTTGAAAAATTGGGTCAACGGGCTGAGTAGTGATAAAATGGAGTTTAATTTGGATAAATGTGAAATATTGCATTTTGGTAATACAAACAAGAACAGGACTTGATGCTGGTGAGACCCACTGCACAGTTCTGGTCATCCTGTTATAAGAAGGATATTATTAAACTGGAGAGGGTTCAGTAAAGATTTACCAGGATGTTGCCGGGAATGGAGGGTTTGAGATATATATAAAAAAAAAAAGAGACATTTTCACTGGAGCATAGGAGGTTGAGGAGTGACCTTACTGAAGTTTATAAGATCATGAAGCACGTGGATAAAGGTGAATGACAAGTATCTTTTCCCTAGAGTAGGGGAGTTCAAAACCAGGGGGCACAGGTTTAAGGTGAAAGGAGAAAGATTTAAAAATCATGAGGGGTAACTTTTTTTTTTGAAAAAAAAGAGTGGTTTGCATATGGAAATGAACTGCCAGAGAAAGTGGTGGATGCAGGTACAGTTACAATGTTTAAAAGACATTTGGATAAGTTCATGAATAGGAAAGATTTGGAGGGATATGGGCCAAGCGGAGCCATGCGGAACTTGGTTAGATTGGGAATATGTTCAGCAGGGACCAGTTGGACTGAAGGGTCTGTTTCCATGCTGTAGGACTGTAACGGAGTTTAAAAAAAAATCTAAACGTAACTTAGGAGTAGAACAGCACCAAGAAACCTCATGTTATTTGGGAACTATGCTTTTGACATGCTGGATATTCTTTTTGAAGATTAGTTCACCTCTTAAATGCAAGCAAAGTTTTTAATATGCTGCAACAATTGCAAACCAGAGTACAGATTAGAAGGGCATTACCTATTCAGAGTTGTGACTGCAATATGGACACGAACAAAAGAGGTTAACACTAGGCCAATGAACTCCTTTATATAATAAGTAGTACTGAATGCAAAATTAAGCTCAGGGTCCAGCTTTGGAGGCAGATCAACTAGCCAATCTTGGGCACTTGGATAAAATCATTCAAGTGTTAACTGAAATGTTGATGACATTTCTAGAAATATCTCAACTTTGACTCCAACAACTTACCAGTTAGCTACATAGATCATTAATATTCATTAAAAATTTAAATAGGTACTTAGGTGCTAACAATGGAACTAGAGCCCAGAAGTCAAGCTTCCTCCTCCCTCCAAACTGCTTGTGCTGAGACCTAATACGATAACCTAGGTTTACGTTCCACCCCAGGTCCTAAAACATCAATCTTATCACTAAGTAGAATAACAATTTAAATTTGCATGCCTGGTCTGATCATGTGAGATGCCGTAGTTAATTAAATGCAAGAAATGAAATTCCTAATCTCAATTTAAAAGGAAGTGTGAAATCTTATCGCAAGGAGAGGGTGGCATTGTGGTAATGTTGTTGGATGAATAACCCAAAATCACAGGTTAACGCTTTGGGGACATGAGTTCAAATCCCCGCATGGTAAATGGTGAAATTTGAATTTAATAAAAATTTGCATGAGGGAGACATTGTACTGGTGATCATATAACAGTTATTGATTGTTGTAAAAATCCCTCAGGATTACTAAATGTCCCTTATGGAAGGAAATCTTCCATCTTTACCTGGTCTGGCCTACACATGACTCCAGACCGAGGTGATTTTTAACCACCCTACGGGCAATTAGGAATGGGTAATAAATGCTGGTCGAGCCAGCGATGCCCACATCCCATAGGTGAATAAAAAGAATTCCATTTAGTATTGTGAAAACAAAGCCTTTTCTACCTCAATCTATATCAATTACATCTTGAAGAAGGGGAATTGAGCAAACCCAGAATCAATCTCACGTTAACTAATTAAACAAAGCAGCATTTAATCAACTAATAAAATTCCTGCTGACTGGGGCAGTTTCTCTCGCATTACACCCCAAACTATTCAAAATATTCACCAATTTTCTTAACAGTTTGTTAAAACGTGGAAACAGGAAAACAAATTTCCTTGAAAGGCATGGCTAGTAATAACTTAAAGCTACTAAAAGGACATCTGTTGCACAGATGCTGCACAGTAAAACTACCCAGCAATCCATAACAGCAGGCGAGCTTCCCAAGGAATCCAAAACACCAAATCTGTCCTAAAAACACTAGTGCATCAACCTTTTCCTCCTTGGCTTGAAAATGAGAATCTACTAGCCTCATCAAGAATATGAAAGCACACACAACGCAAAAACTATACATATATAGACAGATGCGAAAGAAAACCAGTTCAAAACTTTAGTGGCCCCCACTGGAAATAAACAGAGTTTGCTAACTACTTTGCTCTCCCCAAAAACCCATAGGTGACGATCAAACAAGAAATGCAACTATCCCTTGCCCATTCTGATCTCATTACGTTGTCCAATCACAGAATCTTTCAAATCACCCACAATTAAAGTAGAATTATCTACACATAGCCCAAAAGCAGATTATTTGACCCAGGCCAGCTGTTTTATTGTACACAAGCCTCCAACCACAAGGATCTGCATACATAATTAGGCAAAGATCCTAATGCTGATATCACATCTGTAATGAAGTACTGATCACAATTCCAGCCTTAAAAGGTGACAATTGCTCTGGACAAGGTTCCCCAACTATACTGATCCAACAAATCAGCACAAGCACAACTTATATTAAACTCAATGTTCATAAAAAAATTAGCTGGCATTATCACAGGAAGACAGATCCTAATCCTGATCTCTAGGAAATTCTTCACCGTGTGTTAGAATCTAACACCCTTCTGAAACTATTGCAGTCTAAACAAGTAATGCATGAACCTTCTATCCAGAACCAGATCAATTCTGGAGCTAACTGCATAGCATACAGATATTACGAGGAGGCAGTGGCATTGAGGTAATGTCAATAAACTAGCAATCCAGAGTCCCAGACTAATGCTCTCAGTCTATAAATTTGAATCTCACATGGCAGATGAGGAAATTTGAATGGAATAAAACAAAATGGAATTAAAAGCTGGCATTATAATATCCATGTAACCTGTTGTAACTACCCATCTGATCTGCTAACGCCCTTCAGGGAAGGAAATCAGTCACCCACATTTATGTGGATATTGAGGAACTGAGCAGTACAGTGATAGATAAAGAAGAGGTGCTCAGAAGGCTCGCAGCACTCCAGGTAGCTAAGTCACCAGTTCCAGATGAGATGCATCCTAGATTCCTGAGAGGGGGCGCAAATTATGGAGCCATTGACAGAAATTTTGCAGCTCTCTGAACACAGGAATAGTCTCGAGGACTGGAGGATTGCAAATGTGACACAAATTGTTTAAGGAAGGAGAAAGGGACAACCTAGACCTGTCAGCTTTACATCAATAGTGAGAAAACCGATGAAAGCTGTAACATGGGATAAGGTAAATATACACACAGAAAAATAAGTTAATACTAGACAATCAACATCGCTTTGTCAGGGGCAGGTCACGTCTGACAAATTTAATTGAGTTCTTTGACAAGGTGACTCAGGTAGTGGATGAGGGTTGTGCTGTTGATGGTGCATATTTGTATTTTCAAGAAAGCATTTGACACGGTGCCAGATGGAAGGTTGGTTAGCAAATTAGAAATGTTTGAGATTGAAAGGTCTTAGGCAGCATGGATTAGAAGCTGGCTAAAAGACAGGAAACAGTGTAGGTATAGATGGGCATTTCTCAAATTAGAGATGAAATGAAAGTGGCATTCCGAAGAAATCAGTGCTACGCCCTTGCTTTTCTGATTTATAGAAATGATTTGGAAATAAGTGTTGAGGGCAAAAATGTCCAAATTTACAGATAATACTAAGCTAAGAACAGTAAATTGTGAGGACGATGATGATCAACTTCAGAGGGACATTGACAAGTTGGCTACATGGGCAGGCACCTGGCAGAAGAATTTCAATTTTTATTTATTTATGGGATGTGGGCATTGCAGGCTGGTCAGCCTTTATTGTCCATCGCTAGTTGCCCTTGAGAAGGTGGTGGTGAGCTGCCTTCTTGAGCCACCTCAATCCACCTGAGAATGCAGAGAAATGAGAGGTAATGCATTTTGATAGAAGAAACAGAGATACAATACAACTTTGAAGGGAGCACAGCAGCAAAGGGACCTCCGAGTTCAAGTGCATACTTCACTGACGGTCGCTACGCAAGTTGGAACAGTTGTTAAGGAGGCTTATAGGATAGGATCCTTAGGTTTATAAATGGAGGCAGAGTATCAAAAGTAAGGAAGTGATGCTACATCTCTACAAATCATTGGTCAGACCATATTTGGAGTACTGTGTTCAGTTATGGGTACCTTATTTAAAGGAAGGATGTTAAAACCCTGGCGAAAATGCAAAGGAAATTTACTAGAATGATACCAGGAATGAGGGATTTTAGATACAAGGAAAGACTAGAGAAATTGGGTTTATTTCCTTGGAGCAGAGAAGATTAAAGAGGTGACCTTATTGAGGTGCTCAAAATTATGAACAATTTTGACATGGAAAGGGAGGATATTCTGGTACGTCTGTTACTCGGGGTCACAATTTCAAGACTGTCAGCAAGAGTAAGATGAGGAAAACTTCTTTACTCAGAGCGTTGTTAGGATTTTGAAAGCGCTGCTGGGAGAATAGTGGTTTGAATTGCATAGGAGGTTTAAAAGAGAACTGGATATATATTCGAAAGTGATGAAGTTGGAAGGCTACTGAGGTAGGGCTGGACAGCAGCTCTTTTGGGAGCCTGTACAGATATGATGGATCAAGCGGTCTCCTTCAGTACCACACAGTTCTATAATTCTATGGTTGACTTTTGACAGTCCTCTGAAATGCCCTAGCAAGCCTCTCAGACTAAGGGTGAGGTGAGTAATGCTCACATGCCATGAATGAAAAAAAACTCTGCAGAACTACAGTAAAAGGTTCTGCATATTTTTCAACAGTTCTACAGCTGCAACCCTTTTTCCAAGCCCTAAGTATCCAGTGACCAGACACAGATCTTAGCCTTCCCCATCATGATCTAAATAAGTAATATATTAAAAAACTAAAGAATGCAAACCACTCCCTGCCCAAGACACGACTGTTCTCAAGTACTGTGAAATCTCTATTATAACATACTCTTGTGATGCAAGTTCTTAAAGTATCTAAACTTCCATTGAATAATGTGTTCCAATCCCAGAATTTGGAGAGGTATGTTTCTCTCCTAGTGTCCTTTCCATTCTTCCCCCGCAAATACTAGCACAAACAAATGAATTAATACCTGTTTATGGATTGTCATGTTCAAAACAGCTGGCACAATGGCCAATACAATGACTACCATATTCAAAATAATTCATGGAATATCAATCGTTTTGAGGTAACTGAAACAGCACCCGATCATATTTTCATGAGGTGCTAAAGCATTTTGCAATGAATAAACTACTTTCACCAGTACTAATGTAGGCAAACAATATCACAATACTTGATAAGATTTGCATTACATTTTAAAAATACAGACTGAAATCAAAATTTAACCCATATATTCTATGCATCAGATCTGTTGTCAACAACTGCTGTGAAAGATCTAACTTAATGTGATCAGTTTGATTAACTAGAAGGTTGCCAAAGAATTAGAAAATGCAAAGAAGGAAGACATAGCCATCTACATTGCAGAATTATGTACATAATTTAAAACGGTTTTAAAATGGAAACATTGAAAATGGCATTATCAAATAGCTGGCTATTTCTCTTACCTGCATTACAAATTTCTGGTCAATGTACTTCTTTGCTATATTTGGTTGAAAATCAGGAGACTCTAAAAACCTCAAGAAAAATTCATACACCAACTGAAGAAAGAAAATTTTAATAAAGTTTATTAATATTAACAGATTACCAAGTTAAAATTACATTGCTTAAATAGATAATTTAAAAATGTAACCACGTTCTAATTTTAAACCACTTTTAGTTATATACCATTCCAGCTGAGCTGCAATACACTAAGTTGGCTTGTAGGTCATGTACAAATGGCTTATGGCAATCTGCCCACTACTTTTACCCCTCTATGGCTGGAAGGTGCTTGATTTCTGGCTGTTGAACCTGCAGTAACTACACAAAAATCAGAATCTTCTCATTTTTAAGCCAACAGTTCTTGAAAAGATATATACAAAAAGAATAGCAGGAGATATATTACTTCTTGGTGTGGATAAATTACTTCATGCCAAGACAGTACCCTTCGGCTCTTTATCCACATTCCAAGAACACTTCTGTCTCAGGTTATGTTTCAAGTGGAATACAAATAACTACTCCGCAATTAATTTTACTAATGTTTTTGTTTTTCCAGATTTATATAGGCCTATAGCTTCTTATTACCAATTGCTGGTGCTCAAATAGTAATTGCTTATTAGTAAAGCAATGCTAATTTGTATTAAGAAGCAATTGATGCTGGTTGCTCCATGCAGATTTTTATTTTAAAAGAATCAAAACACAAAAAGGAATCTTGCATGGCAAAACATTAAAAATTTTATGTAGACTTTTGGAACTATTTTTTACTTTTATCCGGAAGGGTTTTGTTTGGAGACATGCAAGCCTTTTAATATGGTTCTAAGGCAGGACCCAAATTGAATAGTACAGTCAAAGTAATCGGGCATCTTGAACTTTGGTGAGCCATAGAAAAAGATAGAGAAATAAACAGGAGGAGAATGGAGAAAGAGGATGAACTCGAGCGTGCATTCCTAATCAAATCAAATATACAAAAGATACAAGGGAGATGATTTGATTAACGGAGAAAAAAAGGGTAGGAAGAAATTTATTTTAAATTTGACATTTGTAGACTGTCGTAAATAAATGACAACATGAAGGAATCAAACTTATAAATCGATTATTTTCTGAGCAAGAGGGGTTACTGGCCATCATTAAGTTTACTAGCATTGTTAAATACTAGGTTACTTAACTTGGTGACAATTAACATTCAGATCAACTCCTTGATGATTATCATTGTGAGGTGAAACATTAGATGCCACTTTCACAAAGCTAACAGAGACATAGCAGGGTCTAAGTGTTCCTACCTCTGGATCAGATGGCATGGGTTCAAGTTCCATCCGACCTGTAGGTATGCCGCAGCATGTCTAAACAGGTTGTTGTATAAAACAAAGTGGCATGGCACAAATTGGCCAGCATCTTGTGGTAATTTTTAATTCACAGGGAATTCCTTTTTCACAATCTGCTGACTAATTTGCATGTTAATTGCATGCATTTCTCAGACTCTTTTTCCATAAAATCTAGTCCATTGTATATTGTAGATTCATTTCTGTATTTATGCAAGGGATTTAGGCAATGCTGACTGGGCGAGCATTTATTGCACATCCCTCATTGACTTGAGAATGTAATGGTGATCTGCCATCTTGAACCACTGCAATCCATTTGGTGTAGATACACCATAATGCTGGTAGTGAGGGAGCTCTAGATTATGAATTACTGACACTGAAGAAATGGCAATATATTTCCAAGTAGATGGCAACTATGCAAGAGGGGAACTTGGAGGTTATGGTGCCCCCATGTATCGTCCACCCTTGTCCTTCTTGATGGAAGTGATTCTGGGTTTGGAAAGCACTGTCTGAACAGCCTTGGTGAATTTGTGCAGTGCATCTTGTAGATGGTACACACTATTGCTGTTGAGTATGAATGGTTGAAGGGGTTAACGTGGATATGGTGACAATTAGGTGGGCTGCTTTATCCTGAATGATGGCAAGCTTGGAGTGTAATTGCAGCTGCACTCAGTGTCAGAGTCACAGAGCATGGAAACAGACCCTTCGGGCCAACCAGGCCATGGCGAACATAATCCCAATCTAAGGTGGTCCTACCTGCCTACTCCTGGCTCATATCCCTTCAAACCTTTCCCATTCTTGTACTTCTCCAAATGTCTTTTAAATATTGTAACTGTGCCCAGATCTACCACTTCCTCAAGAAGTTCATTCCACACATGAACCACCCTCTTTGAAAATCCACGCAAGTGGAGAATAATTCATCAAACTCTTGACTTCTCCCTTGTAGGCCGGCTTTGAGAAGTCATTTACCGCAGGATTCCTAGTCTCTGACCTGGTCTTGCTGCATAAGTATTTATATGGCTAATCCAGTTCGGTTTTTGGTTGATGGTAATCTAAGTATGTTGATAGTGGGGCAGTCACTGATGTTTGAATGTCAGGAGAGGGGAAGGGGAAGGGGAAGGGGAAGGGGAAGAAGGGGAAGTTAGATTCTTCTGTTAGAGATGGTCATGGCCTGGACCTGCATTGCATGAATGTTACTTTACACTTGCCAGCTCAAACTTAGATATGGTCCAGGTCTTTCCAACTGGGACATGGACTGCTTCAGTATCTGAGGAGTTGTGAATTGTGCTAAATATTGTGCAGTCATCAGTAAACAGCCCCACTTCTGACCTTAATAGAGGAACAGCCATTGATGAAGCAGCTAAAGATGGCCAGGCCAAGGACACTCCCCTGTGAAACTCCTGCAGAGATATCTGGAGCTGAGATGATGGACCTCCAACAACCACATCATCATCTTTTGTGCCAACTGTAACTTCAACAAGCAGTTCCCCTATTCCCATTGCCTCCAATGTTGCTGGGGCTTCTTGATGCCACAGTTGATATCCTCTGAAATTCAGCTCTTCTATTTGAACCTAGACTGTAACAAGGTCAGGAGCTTAGCTCTGTCAGAACCCAAACTACTGCTCAGCAAGTGTGACTTGAGAGTACTGTTGATGAGATCTTCCATCACTTTACTGCGTATCCTGTCTACATCTTTCTCTCAACTCCTTCAAACACAGTATAACCTTTACCATTTAATGCCCAACTTAAAGGCATCTATTCCAAGGTTCAAGAGAATCTCATGGAAATTTCCTATCTCCACTACACTAAGATCACCTGAAGAGCAAAGACAATAACATGCTTCTTTTCTACAGTTGAAACTGTTTATTTATATTTCTTTCTGCATTCTTTAACAGACTAGAAGTTCATGGAATTTATTAGTCACACAAACACTTATTCCTGCGGCTTCCACTTCCTATCACTTATCCACCAAGTCAAACCTTCTCCCACATCCGACTTTCCTAGCGTGGAACCTGTAACTTTTCTCTTAACCTCAGAATCACTGGAAATGTACCTCGATCTTCAATTCACTAAATTGCTAACCAATTTCTATACCTGGCCACCAATCTGAATTACATAATTTCCCCTCTCCTTTCAGATACCTTTCCTGCACCCTTCCATCATCTTTACCATGGCAAGAGGGGCACAAGTGGGGTACGAGGAGCTTAGAGAGGGACATTGCAAAGATAGGAGGGAAAGAGAGGCTACAAATTAGCAAAACCATTTAAACTGGTCAACAAGGAATACTCAACTAAGTGGAATCCGAGAAAACCTTCAAATCACGAGGTAGTGAACTCCTTGCAAGTTCACTTGTTACTATACTTGGGGGGGAAAACATTTAGTGGTTCCTAATGAATGAAAAATTTCATCTGTTAAATTTAAATCGAAGACTAAGATCAGAGATGTAGTAAAAAGGGTTGTAGCTGCTTGGTCAAAAGTTCCAACTTAGTATATGTGCGATCAAAATATGTTAGCTGTGACCCAAGTCTACAAAAAATGTGTTTAGGGCGATGGCTTTTCACCTGTAGAAGTATGTTAATTATTTCAGAAAAACAACATAGTAAACTTATGACTGTCATCTTGTTCTAATTGTTGTGAATACACACAGATGTTTAAGGACTCTCTCGATGGCTTTGGAGAAGTAGCTAAGCAAAGATGTAAGGACATAGGAGGTGGGGTTTATTGCTTTAATTACTAGGAAAATCTAGTTTTAACATGAATGCAGCGACTGTGCTAATAGATGTCTAGCAACCCTCTCTGGATTTATAAAGAGTTTTATTCCACAGATCCAGTAGTCAGAGTAAAGAAGAAACTCCAGAAGTTGATGCCTCTCTCCTGGAATCTTATTCTCAGAAACCATCAGATTCCCTGAAACTAGTTCTAAATACCAGTTTTCCTGTCTCTTAGCAAAACCTTATGTAGTGGGCTGTGACCAATTCTCAACAACTTGAATCCAAGTTAAATGAAATTAGAACTGAGCATTTATCAATCTACAGATATTTGCAATTCACTTTTGTCAACAAGATATTCAACTGATGTGAAAATTCATCACATTTCCATCCCTCTGGCCGACAGCAGTTATGTTTAGTAGTTAAATTTAACAAAAAAATTTCTAGTGTTAAGAGTGTGGGAACGAGGGGATATAGTTTTAATTCCATATCACAGCTTGGGTGTTAATTGGAGTTTGCTACTGCTTTAGAAATATTTATTGTGCATAATAAATGAATTATTTTGAGTTGAAAGAAGCCAGGTGAACATTTCTTTAGATTTTGATAATAGTACTAAAGAGAAGCAATTGGCTATTTTGGTAACTGAATCAACGCAATTACACTAATGATGTGATTGGAGGAGTGCAGGGGCTTGAGCATTTGCACCACCTTCTCATAACAACTTAAACATGGTGCTGTCAAGGAAGTTAATGCTTTCCTTAAGTGTTGTGGCTCTATGTTTAATAGAGTTCATTATTATAATCAATTAAATGTACTAATTCTGTTTCTATGAGAGTCCAAACACCTTCATGTCAATACATATGCAGAAAGTATTGTTACTATTTGACAGCATCACCTAATAACATGAATTAATAAGAATGAAAAAGTTGCCCCTGAAAATCTAAAAGTAGCCCTTGAGAAAAAATGTTGATCCTGGTATAAGTGAACATTTAAGGGGAACATAGTTATGCACGCTTGCTATGCCATTCAATACGA